GGAAAGTAGCGTTATGTGATTTACAGACTAAAAGTCTTGATAAATAAAGACAGTGTATCTATAACATATGTAAATGTATAGCGTTTACAGCGAAAGTATTGACTCGGATAAATTTTCGTCAGACCTCTTTAATCAGTGCTGTACAAGCCCTCATAGCCATCCTAATCAACACAATTTTTTCTGCGAAAAAAGCAGAAGTGTGTAAGGAGCACGTGGTGTGTTATCGCATTTACGACCATCTTCACAATCTTTGAAATAACATGCTATGATTGAGAAGGTATAAATAAGCAAAGTTTTATCATTAATTTTTAAAAAATAAATAGAGAAATAAGTGAACTAAGTAGCAAGTAACCGAGATTTTGTTCGTTTAAAGAATTTAACTAGTAGCAACTTCTACAGTCAAAACTTTACCATTCAGTATAAGACAGCATCAAGAGTTATGTTGTAAAATCTTAATAAAGTAACCACATAAATCACTCAAACTTTAACAAGAATCACTTAATCGAATAATTGAAAAATTACACTTCTCCATTGTTGATAGTTTTATTCGTCTTTTAAACTAGCCGTCTCACTGTCGCTGGTAGTATATTAAAAAAATTTTATATGCTCTTTTCACTTGATCCAATATCAGTAACTTGTCAAATATGTCAAAATAGCCGTCAGAATTTTTTTGCGCATAGTTTGCGTCACAATGTTTTGTAACCCAATAGCCCATCTGTCCCTGTTCGCAGTTTATACAGAGCGTTGCAGATTTTTTCCGCATGGTAACGGTCTCTTTACAGATCAAAGGATACCTTCTCATTTATAATGTGGACATACGAAGTATAGATTTTCCGAATTTGAAAATCATCTGGGGTGATGATTTGTTAGACGACACCAGCGCTCTGACGCTGAGTAGTAATTTGGAGTTAAAGGAACTGCGGATGCCGAAACTGCGAGGTTTATTTTATATCTTTCTAACAACAATAAAGCATAAAAATGAGTAATTTTTTTCAGCAATTCAGAAAGGGAATGTGCGTATCGAGAACAGTACGTTCTTATGCTATCTGCAATCGAAAGTCAACTGGGATGAGGTTATTTTCCTAGCTTCTTTCAAATCAATATGTAACTGTCGTATAAACTTCGATATTCGTTGGCTATAATGTCACCAAAAAGAGACAGCTGTTTCGTTTAACCCAAATTGCAGTATTTGATTTAGTCTAAAGTACTCAGAATATACAACACATCGAAAAATGTGTCCGTTGACTATTAATACCACTTCTATTTATAAACTTCCACTTTCCTACCTCTCAATAATTCATTTTGAGATACTAGGCTCTGTTTAAATTTCCATCTGTGAGTAATTTCTTATTGTCGACGCCTACGGTCGGAATATTGATAGATCATAGTTAGCTTGCTGTACTTACTGCAACCTCACATGATCCTACATTTATCATATTTGGCTCCTCTTATTGGAAAATCCCATCAGACAACTTCC